GTCAGAGTATCGTCCCCTAATCACCATGTTAGTGGGAAAAAGGAAGTACAAAGGGGATTGCTCACGTCTGGCAACCTGCCGGTGGAGTCTACGGTTGCAAACATGAGGCCACCGATACTCATATTATACCAGACTCGGGTTCCTTTCTGACGAATCATCAGCTGGTTACGACCAATGGAGATGTACAGAACCTACGGGGTAGGGGTTGGGTGGAGGGATACCCAACAGACTCCAGATTGTCATGGGGGTGAAGTTATTCATGTCGCAGATGAGGGGGGTGAAGATGGGTCCTTGAAATGCGAGAGGGTTTTTAAAGGGGGAAACACGGATGTTTTCAGGTTAAATTACAACCCTCGATGCAACCCTATATCAGAAGCATAAATGATGGCGGCACAGGCCTCGAGGCCAAATTGCAAAAAAGAGTTGAAAGAGTCATAAACATAAGCATGGCCGGGGATTGAACCCGGAAGCTGGGGATTGAACCCGGAAGCTGGGGATTGAACCCGGAAGCTGGGGATTGAACCCGGAAGCCAACTACCATTAGACCATGCTGGCTTCCAAAGATTGTTGGTAAATCTGGGATAAGGGGTGAATTCTTGATTTCGTACTCCAATTGGTCTCATGTCCGGGCCCAGTTTGAACTGTAGTTTAAATGCCGAACAAGTCAGTGCTGAGTTTATAGGACCGGGTTCAATCGCACCCGAACAAGTATTCGACATGGTCATCAGCTAAGTTACATTTTTTTGCCGGACTTGGCCAGGCACCGGGTTGTCTTATACACCGGGTTCACCCCCCGAACAAGTCACTGCGCAGAATTTGTCCTTTTAACTGCTGCTATTAGAGTGACATGGTCGGCAGGTAAAAGATACTGACCGACATTGTCTTCAACGTTGGCTTGGCCTAGTAGTTAAGCTGGGAGGTGTACGTAGTATATGTATGTATGCCCTGGGTTCAAATACCGAACAAGTCATAGATTCGCATTTTGAAAAGTTTTTTACTTACTGCAGGTAAAAGATACTGACCGACCTATGTATGCCGGTTTAAATCCTAAACAAATTTTTTACTTGCTGCTATTAGAATGACATGGTCAGCAATTACTTAAAAGATACCGACCAACATTGTCTTCCACCGTTGGCTTGGCTTAGTGGTTAAGCTGGAGGTGTACAGAGTGTATGTATGCCTGGGTTCGAATCCCAGAAGTCACTTACAACGATCGCAACTCTTTCGTTTTTGTAACTCTGGCTAAAATTTACTAATCAATTCTTACCGAGCTTGCAGACCCAGGTTAGTTGTCTTACGCTGGGTAAGTTACAAAGTGCCGAGCTTTCAGGCCAGGTGGATCATTGACTTGGCTCAGTGGTCAAGGTGGGAGGTGTACGCATTGTATCTATGTATGCCCTG